ATTGCAGCAATGGGAAAAGAAGTTCAAGAAGATTATACCGCATGCTGAATACGAATCAATTCAGAACTCGACGCCCTCTTCTCCTGGTCAACCAACAACGGCAAAAGCCACTGTACATGTGCATTTTGAAGAAAGCGACACGTTCAATATACGCATCCCCGAGCCATTTTCGTATGACGACTTGGTGCGGGCCGTCGGGGGTAAGCTGAAGAAATTCTGGTCTGGGACCAGTACTAGTGCTAGCGTCGATTCGGCGCTGGTTGTAAAGTACAAGGACGAGGATGGGGATTTGATTTCCCTGGCTGTGGATGAGGATGTGAAAGAAGCAGTTGCGAGTGGGGAGGTCGATTTATATGTTGCATTGAGATGTGAAAGCTGATCATATACCGGTACTAGGTACTTCTTTCGTGATAGTCTCGTATAGCGTGGTAGTATAGTACATACTTGTGCACAACGGGCACATGTCTGGATACCTTAACTACCGGTCGACAAACACAACGACCTCCTCCAAGCCTACAAGGAGACTCGATCGTATGCACGTGCGAATCATCCATCGACATCTAATTGTCTGCAGTCAGTCATCGTTTCCTTGAGGACAACTTGGAACCGTCGTGGAATGTAGCAGCTCTAAGGTCTATTGATGGTCCAATTTGTGCCTCAGCTCATACTAGGTGGTAAGTTATAGATACAGGAACAACTTTGTAATGTACAAACGAACATAGTGATTGTTTCAAGTGGAACGACCAAACCTATTGAAAGAAACCAAGATAAATGTGAGGTGGAGAGGTAGGTACGTATCAGCTAGTATCAGCTAGCACTAGTAGTACAACTCTGGCACACTGGTAAGTACCAGAACGCAGGAACGAGATGTCAAGACAACAACGATCAACGATACACAAACAAGAAAAACAACAACAACATAGATGTATGTAGGATGTAGGAGTAGCGAAGAAGCAAGGCGAGCATATGCAAGAAAAAGCAAAACAAAAAATAAGCTCCGGAAATCCGCAAAGGTGAGCAAGCAAAAAAAAAACGTCAACTCCTTCCCACCCATCAAAATCAAATCAAACATGCGATGGCTTAGCCAAAAACTCTCCTAAAATCCTCCCTCTTTCTTCTTTACCACCCGTCGTAGGTAAAGAGGAATAGTCTCTTTCCCTCTCCCTCTCCCTCTCCCTCTCCCTACCCCTCTCCCTGTCCTTGTCCCTGTCCCTGTCCCTATCCCTCCTGGGTGCAGTGTGAGACCTCCGAACGCCCTCGTCGTGGTCGCGGTCACGATCTCGGTGGTCGTGCCCGGAGACTGTAGCGCCCCTGTCTCTGCGATCCCGTTCGCGGTCGCGGTCACGGTCGCGGCGACTAGAGTGGTGCTCTCGGTAAGTGTCGTGGTGTTTATCTCTATCCCTATCCCTGTCCCTATCTCTTTCTCGTTCTCGTTCTCTATCCCTCGTGCGGGATGAGTGACCGTGCCCGTGCCCATGATCCTTGAAACTCGAAGGCGATTGTGGTGATGGTGGTGGGATTTCCGTATCAAGAACAGCATCAGGCGCGGCCAACGTCTTCGACCTGTGGTGCTTTGATTGAGAGTGGGCGTGGTGGGTTTCTGTTGCGGATCTGACGTGTCGGGAGGATGAAGTTGGGGATTCTGGGTGCCGGCGGTAGTCTCGGTCTCGGTCTCGAGTTGAGCGATGGTGATAGTCTCGATCTCTGTCTCGGTCTTTGTCTCGGGATGAGCGATAATGGTGGTCTCTGTCTCTATCCCTATCCCTGTCTCGGTCGCGGTCGCGGTATCTGTCTCTGTCCCGGTATCGATCCCTATCCCTATCCCTATCCCTATCTCTGTCCCTATCTCTGTCTCTGTCTCTATCTCTTCGACGACGGTCGGAATGAGAATGCGATCCAGTGTGAGAGCCTTCGCCTTCAACAAGCGCTCTATGATGACCCCTGTCCCTGTGGCTTCTTCTACCCTCCGACTTGAGACTCCCCACTCCCATATCCGGACTCCCATGACCATGACCGCGACCATGCACCCCAGGAATATGAACAGCGGTAACCGCCTGAGGAATCGGAATACTGTGCAAGCTCGAATGATGCGAATGATGCGAAGACGGCGTCTCCAAAATCATCCCTGCCATCGGATTCGGAGCCCCCCCAAATTCATCATGATCAATCGGCTGATATCCCCCATGTTTATGGGGTAGCGTCTGTGACCTCTTCAACTTCAGTGCGAATCCTTCTTTTCCATCGTGAGTTACGACAGGTTTTGAGGTGAGTGTTCGAGCGCGAGCTAGGTTGCCGCTGAGGAAGGCATCGAGGACTTGTTCGTCTTGGTCCATGTTGGTGTTGGCGTTGTTGACTTTGGGTTTGCGTTGTTTTTCGGGGAGGAACGAACGTGCAAAGTTTTTAGCTTTGCGGATGAGACTTGGAGTTCGGGATTTGGTGGGGATGACGGGTCCTTGTCCATTGGCATTTGTATGTTTCTGGTTCTCTACACGAGAGAAAAAAGAAGGGAAAAAAAAGAAGGGATAAGCGTTGGAGCTCTTGGTAGAAAAAAAATGGGGAGGTACGTACTAGCGACAGCAACTTCTGCTGGAGCACCCGCAGGTACAAGCGTTCCATATTCAACATAAGGTGCAGTCTTCGACCCGTCACTGAAAAAGTACTCTCCAGTGTCGGCGTCGTACCCTGTTCTCTTGACTCCGGGAGGTAAGCGATATTCGTCCTGGTCGTACAGTAGCATGAGGTGTGTCGTGTGAACAATCAGCACTGAGAGGGGTGAGAGCTTGTCAAGAAGTAACGTACCTCGTCGTACTGTGTCCAACGTCCCATATTGAGTATAGGCCAAAAGCCAGCGCGCGATGCGCAAATGACGACGGTGGAGAATCGATGGTGGTTTTCTTTTACAAGGCTTTATAAAAAGAGACTGCGCACGCTGCCCGCAGCGCTCGTGGTGGTTTGGTGAATCTGATTGGTTTGGGTGTGGTGATGTAAGGACGGGGGTAGAACTGGAAAAGCTGTTGAAGAGAGCTAACAATGGGTGCTCATGGTATACTTATACCGGTTGCTGACGTCGGTGGGGAGCTTGGATGGAGCGGTGAATTAGATGAAGAGGCAATGATGATTGCGTAGAAAAAACGTGTTGCGGATGGACCCCGTGGATGAGGCACGAGGGAAAGTGTGTTGATGTTGATGGGAAGTAAAGTTTCAACTTGTTGGTCCACGTTGGTCCCACATGTTGGTACACCGCGTGTGACATTTGCTGACCTGAGGCTGTACCGACTTGACATAGCCTGCGATACATGTTTTACACTGTCGGGTAAGAGCATGCTTCAGATTGTAGAGAATTCAGTCAATCTTCCAAGGGAAAAAAGTAATCTACAAGATCAGCGACGCCAGCAGGATTCGAACCTGCGCCCTCAAAGAGGAACAGATAGACAGAAGCAATCAGGCGCGTGGATTCTAATCTGTCGCCGTAACCACTTGGCTATAGCGCCTTGACCTTCGTAAACCTATGGAAACATGGTCAGGAACTTGCAGATATAAAATCGTAGCCCTCCAGCCCCTATTCCCGTATCCCTTCTTTCACTTCCACCGTGCCCACCCGTACCAAATCAAAACATGCAAAGTAAACTCCCACGTCCTCAACCACCACAATCTGTACTCAGACGGTCATTGTCATTTCAACACCGATATCGGTCCGTGATGATTATGAACGATAGCGGACGAGAACGAGAGGTTGCGGTTGAGTTTTTCCCGGGCCCTCATCCGACTCATTCTGGGAACGGTGTGAACCGAACCGCACGAGAAACTGGCCGCTGCCGGGGAGGAGTATGAGGTACTGGTAGGTTGATCCACGGTGAGCAAAACTACCGAAAGATCCCAATCCGACGCCTACATATTGAAGAAGTAGCAGCACATCAGGAAGTACCGTCCCCAGAGTCTCGTAGAAAGGAAACGAGTCATCATGATCAACGGTATCCTGGGCACCTCTTACGGGAAGGACTTACTGATACGGCCATACGTGAGTGCGAAAGACGATCGTGATGGCTGGGAGAGGTACTACGACATAATCGGTTTATATGATCATGAACTGAAGGGCTTGTAAGTAGCAAAGTATCGTGCTTGAACAGGAGCGGGTAGGGAACCAAGATTTCAACGCGCACAAAACTACAAGACTCGTCGCGGGCCCGAACGGGGTGAGAGGAAAGACTGGAACAACAGAGAGAGCTTACTTACCCAATGCTCTACGAGCAGTGGTCGTCGGCCATTGGTTCGGTTCCCGTCTAGCAGCTTGTCCTCCAGACGTCGCGATCGAAAGGGTCGGGACACGCTTCGGAACTTGCCGAATCGCCGAGTCTCCCGCAATAGTTCTTCTCAGGCGTTCATTTCAATTCGGCCCATCACTGAGTTATCACTGACTGCAGTAACAACGTCTCCATGGCAGTGCCTTCTCCCAATTTGATACAGTTATCTCTTCATCCAACAAGATGCTTTTGCTACGCGAAAGTGGGTTGAAAGATGTGGGTGCTTCGTTCTGGAATTATCATGAAGACTTAGAGCCTGAGACAAAGTGAGTTGATCCCTTGTTGCATCCCTGATATCGTTATTGAGTTCTGTAGGTCCTGGTCGAATACGGACGGCATCTTCAACGATTCTAGAGAGCTTCTGGTACACCTCAAAAGATATGGACGCGAGGCAGGGAAAGCCATGACTTCGCTTTGCTCTGAAACGGCACCTTCAGTTATGGATAAGATTCAACTTGTGCGTTCACAGCAATTCGAGACGAATGAAAGGAGGTGCTGAACAGATTGCCATAGCACCTGGATAGCAAGACAAGCGGCGCGGACACAGTCCTTCGCAGGACTTGCATTCACTGTCTCCTACATTTGAACAAATACCACGGATCCCTACCAACTTCGTTCCATCTCTCAAATATCGTCAAGGAAGGCACTCATCCAGTCGCTGGTGGGGGGTTTTCTGTGAGCAATAGTGCAGAACGCCTTCGTCGCAGGGATCTCACACAGCACCTCACAGGACATTTGGAAAGGACGTCTTGGTGAAGCCCAGTCCGTCTGCCTCAAGGTTTTACGCGTATTCACTGGGAGCTTCGATGAGAGAAAGTTGATGAAGGTACGTACGGCCCTACTGTTTTCCAGCCTACGGGTTTCAAGTCTTTTCGTAACCAGCAATTGGGTAATGAAGTCCTCATCTGGCGACAACTTCGACATCCCAACATCCACCAATTTCTCGGGGTCACGAACGAGTTGTTCCAGCCCAGCTACTGCATCGTCTCGCCCTGGATGACGAACGGGGATGTGATGTCCTATTGTCGTGAACGCAACTCCAGTCTTGACATGAAGTTAAGGATGGTACGCGCTTGACGGATTTGGATCGAGATTCTCGAGAACCTAACAGATTTCTAGATGCAGGAAATGTGTGAAGGCATTCGGTACCTCCATGAACATAATCCCCCGATAGTACACAGCGACATAAAGGGTGTAAGTCAACATATCTTTCCTACTTTTCTCGGTTTCTTACAGTTCACCTATCACTCCAGATAAACATTCTTGTCTCCGACGATGAACACTGCCGCATCAGTGATTTTGGGCTCTGTACTATCGAAGAAGACTCTCCACAGGGACGCGTCTCTGCAAGTGCGAGTCAAGCGGCTATGCGAGGTTCGGTTCCTTGGCTTGCGCCAGAGTTAATGAATCCAAGTTGCGTCGAGGCCCCGAATCGGACAACTCGGGACATCTACGCGCTGGGGTGTACTATGTACGAGGTGAGTAAACGGAGGAATGCGTAATGAGCGATATACTAATTACCTTATAGCTACTTGCCGGCAATCCCCCTTTTTCGGATAAAAAGATGGAGTTCCAGATTATCATGGAGGTTTTGGGTGGTATTCGACCAGCCCGTCCTGTAGAATGCCCAGATGGGCTCTGGACAGTCATCGAGAAATGTTGGCAAGAACAGTCCGGGTCGCGAATGACCGCTTCGGAAGTGGCAATTCGCTTGGTAGACATGACAACGCCAGCCTCAGTCCAAGGCACTCTCGTCACTACTTTTGTGGACGCCGAAGCCTTGCCTGCAGTCTCGGAATCCCATCCTTCCAGATCAATCGAGACGAAAGGCACGAAAGAGAAACACCTCCATGCTCGGAGTCCCCCCTCAGAATCCGATGAGAAAGATATTGAAGTCAACAGTCAGATGTCGGAGAGATCCCATCGGCAACACCGAGAACTACTTTCAGCCAATTCTCGCCCGGCGAAGAGGAACTTGGACGAGGTGGACTCCCCTATCGAAGACGATACTTTGGAGAAGTGCCAACGTCGTACCGAGTCTCCAAAAGGTGACGATGGATTTCTGTCACAGCAAGAGGTCCCAGCGCAGCCCAAAAATAAAACACAACACGAAGTGTTGCATCACTTCTTCCAATCGTTGCTCTCAACGAAAGATGCCACACGACATGAAGAAAAGGATCGGGCCATTAAACGGAGGGAACACAGTAGTCGTGATCAGGCATGTGGTGGTCTCTGTCGAACTCTGCCCGTAGTCTCATTCTTGACAGAGCATGGATCCCGACCGGTCTCTTCGTCACAATGGAGATCTAGGATCAGACGAAACGAAGAAAAACTCCACGACTGGCGACGAGGGCGAGGAGTGGGTCTCCGAGTCGACGACACTCTCCGATGTGCCCAATTCCCCGGGGAATCTGTTATCTCAGCCCTCATCTCATCCTTACATCCCTCATGCCGACTATCTCTCCATATCGTCATCTTACGCGGCGCCTTTGGATGTTACACATATGACTGTCCCCACGAGGAACGCGAGTCATAATAGGAGAAAACAGGAAGCTACCTTTCATTGTCCTGTTCCGGGGTGTAGAAGCACATTCACAAGGAGCTTCAATCTAAAGGGTGAGCTTACCCTCAGCCTCGGTTTTTTGTTTGCGCGTGAGCATGAATGCTAAAGACACCTGGTAGCTCACCTCCGCACGCACAACGAGGATCGTCCATTTGTGTGCCAATGGCCCGGATGTGGAAAGGATTTTGCTAGGCATCACGATTACAAGAGGCACGAACAGGCGCACTCCAATCATCGGGTTTTCCAGTGTGAGGGGTGCCACAAGCCGTTTGCGAGGAGGGAAGCATTGAATAGGCATCGTGAGCGTGACTTTCTCTCCTCGCTTTCCCAGCGTTGACTCCCTTCCCCTTTTCGTGTCCTCCGCAGTACGTTTGTCGGAAGGAAGTGCAGATTGTCAACGGATACATGAATGGAAAGGAACGTCGCCATCAAGTTTCGCAGTAGAACCTAGCTTGTCGTCTGAAAGAGATTCAGAAGAGCTTAAACCGTACGTTGCTATCGCTCCGGTCTTTTCTAAGGCGTTTCGAATTGCCAGAGCTTGACACACACACCCAGTCCCGCTACCTATGGATTTTCAATCCCGCCGAGCAGCCCTTCTCTCACTATTCAATCTACTTCTACCCTCATGTCCAAGGTCTCTCAAGCTGTCACTACAACCTTTCAGAGTGAACTGATCCTTGATTTTGATCAACAGAGTCCACGTCCACCCCCACCGGGACCTTCTGCTTCGGAGAAGGGTACAATACCAGTGGAATGGCTTGATTATTGGTATGAGGAAGAACAAAGTCAGACGGACGGGCCGGCAGGAGAAGGTCCATCGGAACCAGACGCGGAAAGACCCAGTGCCCCTCCGTTCAAAGAACCTTTTGCCAGCGCCACGTCTTTCAGCCATGAAGATCATGACAGCAACGAGTTGGAGTACTTGGATAAACCTGAGCCCAACACCCCTCCCCTCCCTTCCACCGAACGAGTTGTATTTGACGATGACGATGGAATGGGCATGTACAAGGAGGCAGACGAGGGGACTACTTCTACTGTCACTGGCGCTCGGACGCCTCCGCAGAACTTCTACCTTGGGTACGCCGCCATAGGAGCCCCACGATCCGACTCTGGATCCCGATCCCGTCGTTCACCGTAAGTCCGAGATTTGAAATACTTCAATCGGAGGCCTGTTGTTGATATGGGTTCATAGAGATGCTTGTGTGCGTTGCAGGAAGCGCAAGATAAAATGCCATATGAAGTATCTTACGGATGCACCCTCGTGTGAACGGTGCACGAGGAGGGGTCTTCAGTGCACACCTCACGCTATGAACGTGGACCGCCCACCCGACCTCAGCGCCTCTGCCGAAGAAAAAAGTGTAGGCAGAGGCCCGGGCTCCCGGGTCGTCGATAAAGCTATTGAGGGTATGTGGGAGGCGGTCTCCCTACAAGCGGCCTGGAAAAGCTTCCGGGCGAGGGTGGGAACCTCTGAACTTGTTGGCGTCCCTTCAACTCTCTTGATCGACTAAGTAGTAGAGTAGGGTGCAGATTGACCGGTTCCCATTTTACATTTCGTGAATCGTGGCGACTCCAGGATATTGATCATGTCCGAATCGTACTCTGTAATCCTAGGCCTCAATTTATCTTT